AAAAAGCCAAGAATTCAGCCCCTCTTCCCACCTCCCCAAGACCTGCATCTGTGGAGATGTGCTTGTTCTCTGACATCCTGGTCAGTCGGATATAGCAGAGTGAATCCAGTCATGGGCATCCTTTCTAATGAGCTTTCCACAATTTGGTTGAGCTTCAAGTTTGCAGAGCAGCATAATCAGCGTAACTCAGCTGTGACATGACAGCGACTGGCTGAAATTATTTAATTAAAAAAAACCCCCACTAAGTGGAAATGTGCAATCCAGTAGGTTGATATTGGCATCCTCAATAAATACTTTGAGTAGCTCTCTGCTGAGGAGCTCCAGTGAGGAGCATGGTAAAATGAATAGATTTTCCAGGCCAGCTGATCTGTACCTTGCAAGGTTTTTACACAGGGGCTCAATCTTGACGCATGGGGAGGAACAAGTGGTGTCTTGCTAAGGAGCTGTCTTTGCAACCAGATCCTCAAGATCAGACTTTTTCAAAGGGAAGGTTTCTGAATGCCATAACTGGGGCCAGATCTTCAGTAAGCTCAGCTTCAACTTTGAGACACCGAGCAAAGACTGATTTCTCAAAGAAGCATATTCAATGTGCTGAACTCTTCTGAAGAACTGACCTTGGTTGTGTGAATGCTGATCCCCCTTGGAAGTGATGGGCTTAATCCAAGGCCCTCCTACCTGTTGTTAGCACCTGGGTAATTGTCTGACCCTTTCTTTCTCCCTCTGGCCCCTAGTTGCCTGAGATGAGGTTGCCTTGCACTAAACTAATCATTCTGGTTTTGTCCAGGAGTGTCCGTTCAAGTGCCTGGGCTTGATCCTGACCTTTCAACAAGTAGTTTCAACAAGGTTGTGCTCTTTTGTTGAGAAAGTAGAAGTGGAACTGCTCCTGCTTTACTCTGAGGATCAGATGCTGACCCCATTTGTGCAGACCAGTTATCCTGTAGTTTTGCTGCCACTCTGGCAAGCAGAGGCCCTTCAAAAACGTTGTCTTATTCCACATTGGCACTTCCAGTGCTGGCCCCTTTTCCTCCCTCCATCCAGACTGCCTGTGCTCAAGCAAATCTGCCTTGCTGATACCACTTAATAAAAGCAAAGGGGTCATAATTGCTTTGATTTGTGCCCCTGCTGGCACAAGATAACATGCGTGAGAGCAATAAGATAGACCGTGTCCCAGTGACCTTTATGCCTTTGTTCGACAGCTCTAATATCACCTCCTAGCTGCATTCATGTGCTGATTTGCTTTTAACTTGACAAGCTGGCAAGCTAATTTTCAGCACGAGTCCCTGACAAATGAGACACCTGACTTTGCCCTTCCAGGACAGCCTGGCTGATTTGCTCTGCTTCCACAATTGTGGGGTTGGAAGCAAGAATTTCTATTGTGTAAGGCTCGGTGAAAGATGTGCATATGATATGGAGCTAATCGCTGCCCTGCAAAAGGTCATACAAGCTAATCAAGTCTCAGCTAGTCATGCAGGGCTTTTCTGTGGGTTTCCCATTCAAGTTGCTAGGCAGTTCATATGCAGAGGCTGCATTTCATGTGTGATGCTGGAAGGATGGGAAGAAAGTTGGTTTCAGTAATCAGCGTGTTATTGTAGGAGTTAGACGGTCTGGGTTCATGTCCCTGCTCTGCTAATTCCCCTTTGAACATGAGCAATTGATTTGGGGTCAGACTTGAAGATTTAGACACCTAACTCCTTGAAATCCATGGGAAATAGGTGTCCGGATACCTTAAACTCCAGCTGTAAGCCTCATCAATAAGAACAACACGAGGTCCAGAGAGCTGCCTTGTCACTTCTTGCCCTCTCCTCCCATCTCTGTTGCAGGCTTATTTTTCCTCTACTGCCTTTTCCTTGCCTTGCACTGAGTGAGCCACCCAACTCTAGAACAAGCACATGGTGACCAGCGATCACGCTTCAGCACAGGCAGGGAGGTTCTGGGGAAGTGGAGTACAAGGGGAGAAGCTGTTGGCTGAGCCAAGGCCAGCAAGGAAGCAGAGAGAGGGCAAGTGAACCATATAGCAGCTTGCTCTGGTTCACTGCCAGCCCAGTAAATGAGCCATGCATATTTAAGGGAGCCCTCAGGTTCCTACAAGTACTGTACAGGATAATGGGGAAGGAGTAAGTTCCAAGATGCAGCTTGGCACTGAGCTGCTTTCTGTTCTTGGCTCTGCCACTTGCATGCTGGGGGACCACAGCCAAAGAACTTCTCTCTTCTGTGTCTCAGTTTCCACATCTGTAAGATGGGGTTAATGATTCTCATCTCCTTTATAAAGTGCAATGAGGTCTACAGGTGGAAAGTACTCTGTGAGGACTGTGTGGTACTGGAATTGGCACTCGGCTGCTGCCAGAAGGGTGGGTGCTGGAGGGGCTGACTTCCGATGTGGCTATTGGTCCAAACAGGGACTTAGGTGCACAGTGCTGTGCGTTGCATACACAAACTTGTAGGCACTCGATCCTCCACCTGTCCTTCCTCCTAGTGTGGAATCCACAGCCTGGGCTCCAGACTCTGTACAATGCACAAGGTGGGTTGGGCACTTTGATACTGGATCCAAAATAGGTAGGTCACAGGGAGCACAACCAGGTCGCTTGAGCTCTTTTCCCTCTCTAGGGCTTGGGGACTGCCTTCAGGAGTTAGTTTCCCCCTGGTGCCCTTGAAGGTAGGCACACTTGCTTCCTTCAAGGTGGGGTGTCTCTTTTATACAGTAGCATAGTGACTGGGACAGTCACTCAGGGCATGGGACACCCAGTTTCCATTTCCTCAGCCTGAAGAGATTTAAGCCCACTTGTTCCACTTTGCAGGAGAGTGCCCTAGGCACCAATCTACAGCGTGAAGTTCCCTCTTAAATGTTCTTTTTGTGCAGAAACAGAATTTGTGATTTGTGTTACCAGAGAAGCATGGGTCTGCAGCCTGGTAGCCAGGGTGCTCTTCTAAGAGGTAGGAAACACGTCTTTGAATTCCCCTGACTGCAGAGGGAATTAAACCCAGCCCACCCTACTCCTGGGAGAAGGGCAGCACCTCCTTGTGCATCAACTGTTTTAAAGGAAGGCCGAGGATCCCCACTGCATTGGGTGTGGAGTCCAGGCCTATAGGCATGCAATAATTGTGTCCAGAACCTGTGTCCTGGGTCAGGTCCGTAAGGACTGATATGGGCTGTCTGCTGCAGCCTTGGGGCACAACTCCATGTTGCTGCTCTTGCTGCTGCCTGGTGGGCAGGGGGTGCCTCTCTATGGGGGGCGCTGTGTTCGGTTCAGGCTCCCAGGGAGAGGGCTCAGAGCTCTGAGGCTGCAGTGGGAAGCCCGCATCTGCCCCCACCCCATGCACAAATGTGGGGGGCACATGCTTCCCCATACTCTCCTTCCTGGGAGGGCATGCAGCAGGAGGGACCTGCTGCCCCCACCCCCTAGATGAGCTGCCTGTGACTCTGTCCCACTGTCCGCCCTGGCTGGGCTACCAGACCCAGCCGCTGCCCCTGTCCCACTACCTCCCTGCCATAGACTTACCTGCAGGGAGCTGGGAGAATTGCTCTCTGCCACCGGACTGGGACTTGATGTTCCCATTTTGGAACTGTCCCACCCCATAAGGGATGGGTGGTCACCCTGGTCTCTTCCCAAGGGGGACCAGGGCCCTTGGGCCCCCACGTACTGGGCACCTATGAGTGGAGGAAAGATATGGCCAGGGCCAGGGCAGAGCTAGAGGATGAGGGAACAGTTTTCATTTAGGTTTCAGTAGTAGTGGAGCCACAAGAGCACGGACTACACAAATTCACTTGGGAGCCTGGTTATGTTCTTGATGGCTGAAGGCTGCACTTCCATGGCTTTTCAGAGCCAACTAAGTGAAAGCCAGCTCCAGTGTGCCAGCAGCTGCTGCAGTCACTGCCAGCTGTAGTTAACTGTCAGTGATGTCTGATGAGAACTTGTGAAAGAGGAGACGGAGAAGTCAGATCCTTATTTTTCCTAGCTGTGTACTGCAGCGGCACTTGTTTACCATGTGATCTCAGTGGCATGTGCCAGGCCATGATGGGAACAATGCAGGCCATGGATAATCACAGCCCTGACCATGTTACAGTCAGCAATGGTGAGATGAATACACTCCTACATGCCACTGTGCAGGCAGAAAACATGAGGGAATCTGCCACTAAATCTGGCACGTGGGGCAGAATCGATGAGCTTTCATGTTTTAAAGATTTTGGTGCAAGTTTTCCCGGCTCAATAGAAGCGGTCAGAGAGGGTTGCCAGGGAACTAGGAGACTGAGTTGGGTTGTTAAAGGTAGATGTTGGGCTCAGCTCTCCAGTCATCTCCTCATTGATTTGAGTGGTCTTCCCCTTCATTTCCCACCAGTGTAAGTAGAAGGGAAATGAGGTTACAGGTTGAGTATTTGCACTTATGCATAGCAGCCTGGGGTCTAATTTACTTCTCAGGATGCAGATAGACACCTGGTATAAAGTGTCTGTTTGCTTCATTAGGCAATAAAGCACTTCTATAAATCTGGCCTTCTGGGCTTGATTTTTATCAACTTGAAGTAAATCAGGAATCATTCCACTGGAGTTGCTGATCCTTAATCTGTTCAAGAGAAACTCCCATTACGGTGATAATAAATATGCTAATGACATGCATTGAGCTGGTTAAGGTTGCTCGGCTGAGACAAAATGGGATGTAAGATTTTGAAAGAAGACCATATGCACATGTGGATCTTCCTGTGGTTCAGAATCTAATCTCAGTGAAACCAGTGGAAATCAAGAATATTTCCACTGAAACCAGTGGACACGGTTTTGATTTGCAGGGCTGCAGCTGGGGCTGGATTCCAGTCTGCGGTCTTCACGTCGGCCCCTGTACTGTGTACGCAGCGTATTCAGGATGCTCTGATATCAATTGGGATTCATTGCATTGGGGTCATTAGAGGGACCCAGCACTGGGGAGATGCATGAAGCCCTTATGACTGTGAACACCCAGCTAGGTCTTGCATGTATCCAGCTTTAGTGATCTTCTGTGTTTTTCTCTTCCAGTCTGAATACCACTATGAGTACACAGCCTGTGACAGCCTTGGCTCTCGGTGGAGGGTGGCTGTGCCACACACCCCAGGACTCTGCACGGGCCTGCCAGACCCCATCAAAGGCACTGAATGCTGTAAGCGCCTGCTGAGGCTGTTCGGTGGTTCACGTTCATTGATGACTGGTGTGGGCTGCTCTGAGCCAGAGGCTGTGTGGCGGGGGTGACTCTACCTTGCACGTTTTCGCTGTGCCATTGTCTGTCCAAATCACTATGGGATTATTAAATGATACAAGCCAGCTCCAGCTCCTGCTGGGTCAGCAAGCTCTTTGCCACTGGCTCCTATGGAGACAAACCAGTAAATATTCACCTCAAATTTACACCACTGACAGTCAGGAGAATTGGGCTGGATTTCTCTCTTACTAACAGTAGCATGAATGATTCCCAGCTGGGCCTGGGATGTAGCTGAGGAGTAGTGTTACTCCTCAGCTACATCCCAGTGTAGCTGAGGAGTAACACTACTGAGGTCAACATAGTTAATCCAGAGTAAGCAAAAGGAGAATCAGTCCCCCACGTTATCTAAGCTTTGTTCATTAAGAGTGTGTTTTTTCCCATGCAGCAGTTACAATAGAGACTTCAAATGAAACTCAGCATTACATAAGCTACATAATGGTGCAGTTCCTTAAAAGGTACCAAGAGAATCTGTCTGCTTGATAGCAGTAAACACTCATTATCTAAGACTTCAGCTGCTTTGCCATTCACGGGAGAGACTAAAGGAAGACAGGATTGCGGGGGGGTGGGGGGTGAAGGAGACCTTTAAAGAGAACTGAGTATCCGTTTGGTCAGATAGAAAACCATTTGACTGTTGAAACCAATGATGCATTCAGAAATGCTGTTCCTTGCCTGCAGCACAGCCTCGTATTTGAGGTTATTCTCCGTTTTTATGGTTGTAGCCTTTTTAACAGCTGGCAAGTGTTTTCCATTTGTTTTCCTTGGGCATTATCCTACCATCATTCATCTCTGTCAACCCTGTGGATATCAACATATGACCTTGGCAGGCATGGCTCTTTGGGTAGATGCGATATCTTGTATTAGACCAACTAAATAGTTGGGAAAAGTTCTTTGCAAGCTTTTGGGCACAAACACCCTTCCTCAGGCATTGGGAGACTGCTGCTGTCCTCAGTCTCCCAGTGCCTGAGGAAGGATGTTTGTGCCCAAAAGCTTGCAAAGAACTTTTTCCAACTATTTAGTTAGTCTAATAAAAGATATCACATCTACCCAAAGAGCCTTGCCTGCCTATCTCCTTAGACCAGCACAGCTACAATCAACAACTCTGCAACATATGACTGTAGCCCTTGAAAGAAGTGCAACAAATAAAGCAAAAGACCAGAGAGGAGATTCTGGAGATCTGTCTCTCTCTCTCAACTTCCACTTCTAATTTTATTTTTAAATAAGCATTTAGTTGAGAGGCATATGATCACTGGAGAATTGCTGGACCAAGAAAATCAAGGATGCATGGCTGCAATCCAAAAGGTTTCCACTTAACCACTACTTAAAATTACATCTGGTTATGAATATTTTGGTAATGCCTCTTTTTTTCAGATTCACTCCTACATTTTGTAAATTGCCTTTTATCACTAGTTTTGTTTCATTCACACTTGATGTGACTTGAGCACTGTTTAATTAGACTGATACAGGAAGTCAGGATTCTGCTCCCAGTTACATGATTGCAGAGTAGGAGCAGCAATAGGCCATAGCAATAGGCCGCTCTGAGCTTACTCCCATTAATGTTAGATGATTTTTGCTAGCCTAAAGCTTGAGGTGGATAAAGGCCATGAACAGGGTGTAAACATTCAAGAGATTAGAATCTGGATCCAGATTTGGGTTGATTTTTAGTGTGGAGTTAGAGTAGACAGCAGCACAGGTTTAAACTGCAGAGTGCTGTAGATTCATAAGCTGTTCATATAACATTTAAGCTCCTAATGAACAAAAACCTCTCAGGATGGCATGAAAACCCGTCATCTGTGGTAGGCATAAGAATGTCAAGGCTTTGACAACACCTGAACTCCCACTGCAGTGCAGGCTCATCTTCGCTGTGGACTGAGCCTGTGTGCCTGGAGAATAAATTCATGGTTTGTTTATTCTTGGACATCACCTTTCTTGGACAAGAGCTAAAAGTAGCCTCTGTGTGTCCTTTTGGCCTTTCAGGGGGGTTTGTGGCTACATCTAAGCCGTAACTGAAGACATGATTCCACCGCAGATAGACATCCCCACACTAGCTCATGTAATAGCAGTGCAGCTGCATCAGCACAGATACAAGGTATAGGTTGGAAGCCTGCATACATACTTAGGGTCCCCTCATGCACCCTTACTGAAATCTGTACCCCTGCAGTGTCACTGCTGTCATTGCTCATAATAGTAAGAGGAAAGCTGGCTCAAGGGTACCTGCAAATGCTGCAGTTGCAGCCCTCACTGCAGTGAGAACTTGCAAGTTTAACGCACTGCTTGTGACCTTCCCCATATAACCATGCATGTGTATGACGTGCACATGTCCTTCCCATGCAAAGGGAGGAAACAAGTAGGGGCCTTACCCCTTATGACTGGGTGAAAATCTGGAGCCTGTGCTGTGTAAAAGGCCAGATAAAAATGGCCCCGCTCTGGCTTTAAAATCAATGGAAATGCAAAGGATTAAATTGAATTTCTGCTTTTGTTCCCCAAATCTCCAATAATGTTTTTGATAACGTCTTCTAATAAATGCTGGGCAGACTGGGGTAATTTTTGAACCGAGGCTGTCTTACAGTCTCAGTTACTTCTGGCTTCACTAAAAGGCTAAAGCCTGGCTTTGCCTCGGACCCTTCTAAATGTCCGCATATCAGCTTGAAAATCATCACCTGTCCACACCTAGAAACAATATTTCATATGTGACCCAGCTGTAACATTACAGTTATGGAGAAATCTTTGCATGTGATAAGCTGTTTCATAGCACTGTTGCTAATTTATACTTGCTCTGTGAGTAAGAACAAATCAGCCTTCTCCTTATCAGTTTTCCTGCCTGTAAAATGCAAATAATTAATAATCCATTAACACTTCTCCAGAATTCTGTAAGGGGACTTGTGGTTTGAGATCCAAGGGTCACAGAAGTAATGGATACAGATGGGATTGTTGGATGGAGACTCTTTCTGTGTCCCTTTCTCCTAATCTCTCTTTCTCTGCTGTCCTACGTTACAGCCTTTTCTTGCAAAGCAGGTGAATTCCTGGACATGAAAGACCAGTCATGCAAATCCTGTGCAGAGGGCAGATACTCCCTGGGCACTGGCGTTCGCTTTGATGAATGGGATGAGCTACCCCATGGCTTTGCAAATGTGGCAACCACCCTTGAGGTTGACGATAGCGTCTCAGAATCAGCAGAGAACTGCACCACGTGAGTCTGTTGTTGCTAGATGCTGAAAGAGCTTTACAGCTTGAGAACAGAGCCATGTGAGCTACGAGTTTTCACCAACAACCTTGACCTGTCATGCTGGACAGCCTAATTTCAGAAGTGCTGAACACCGTAGTGGAAGTTGGTATGGGTTGCTGACTTCTTTGTAACAACCCTAACAAGTTTTATTCTGCTCACATTCACACTGGTGTTACACATCTGGCTTTCCTCTGATATCACTAGTGTCACCTCTGTTTTATTGACACTCAGTGGACATGGCTACTAGATCAGCATGTCCATGCTGGTAGATCCTTCCTTGTCCATTTTCCCAGTGTTTTGTTAACCCCAGTGTGAAAGGCTTCCAGTTTGGAAGTTTCTTTTCTTTCTTTTTGGTGAGCTCTCACCATGAAGAAGGCCTTTATGATGTTAGACCTGAGTTTTCCCTCTTTTACACCTCCTCCAGACCCCTGCAGATGGGCTACAACCTCATTGCTCCCCCCCTCTTATTTAAAATTCTGCCCAGTGTTGGATTAACCTGTAAAATGCACTGTTGCACAATGTTATTGGGCCCATGAGTGCAGTGGGATTTGAAAAGCTCAGTGAGGTGTCTGTATACAGAGTAATCGCAGCTATGTTTAATATGATTAAGTATGTAAGGAAGCTAAACTCAGATAGGCAAGCCACTTTCAGTTTTGGGTTAGATATCTCACTCCCCATGAACACATTTCCATTGTCTCTTACTGAGATTCTAGTCCCAGACTTGAAACATCTGGTGCTCAGCATGGACACAGACATGGGGGTAGATGGTTTCTTGGCCTATTGCACTTCAGCTATTTCTTTCCTACTGCTAACTATGATCCCACTTTTCCTGATACCATCAGCCTGATTCAGTCGAAACCTTGGCACTCTCTTGCAGGCACGTTCAGCCTGAGGGCTCTGACAAGCAAGGATGCAAGGTTAAATGAAGACTAGGTTTCTTTTTCTAGTGGGCCTGTTCTAACTCAGTCAGAAATAGTAGTTTCTCTGCAGGGATTTCTGGACAAGGGCCACCGGCGTGTACTAGACAAGAACTCAAATTAGATTGTCACAACCATTCCTTCTGACCCTTAATATCTGAGTCCTGTACTTGCACCTGCCTTAGACTGACCATCAGAAACCTAACCAGAGCAATCACATCTTGGATCCAGAGCTGGGATCTACCTGGAAGTGGAGGGTGGGTGAGCCCCAACTGTGAGGCCACTTCTGTCCATATAAACTCTTCTGCAAACCTATAGTTGGCAACATCATTCCTTCAGTGTTTTGTGGCTGTTTCAAACAAAACTCTGAATTGAATCAGTTGTTTTGAGTGAAGAGACAAGATCTCCATCTCAGAGAAACCAAGCCGAACAAATCCCCTTAAGGTAGCAACTTCCACCATACTGCAAACAACAGTGGAACTTAACATTCATTAGTAGATAAAAGCACAGGCAGATACTGTTCTTTGGGTAAATGTGATATCTTTTATTACACTAACTAAATAGTAGGAAAAATTGTTTTTTACAAGCTTTTGGGCACAAACACCCTTCTTAAGGCATAGGAAGAGTCTGTTAGTGTTTGTATGTTCTCCTGGGTGGAATAGACCAATAGAAGCGTAAGCCAACATGCAAATATTAATAAATTAATAAATAAAAGCATAGCCTTTGTTATCCTAAAGGTTGCCAAAGCATTTCACAAGTTTTGCTGGGATCCTTTTCATCACTACTGTATGACAGTCAACTCTGGGTGGTAATATTGTAGTTTTCAGCAAGGTGAGGAAATGAAGGAGAATGCTATAGGGAAATGCAACTGCAGGTGGAAATAAAGGCCTACTTTAGTCAGAGATTGCATTAGTTCAACTAATGGTGTCATTTTAAGTGCAAGATACAGTGTGGTCAGCCTTGATTTGATTTTAAAATAGAATTATATTGAATTTTAGCTTAATTTGGTAAGGAATTGAATTAAACCCTATTTATTTAGTGAGCTTAAAACTGGTAGGGTGTCTACACTCTGTATGCATCAGTAATCGGAAAGAGCTTGAATTAAAATGCCTACATTAAGTCTCTATGTTGACATTAATTCCACATACACAGGCACTGTTAAACTGTGTCTGTACTGCATATCTGAGATGTGATTGCAGCGCATGTAGGCACACCTGGGCTAATTTTAATCTAGCTAGTTTGGGTCCCGATAGGGATGAAGTTGCAGTGACATGAGCATCATCAGGGCCAGAAGAAGGCTTCCTAGAACCATGGGCATTTCCTTGGGTTGCCAAATTTAAAAGACATCCATGGTGCAGTTGCACCTCTCCAACTGCAGTGCAGACACACTACTCATCAGGTGGAATCGGAGTGCTCATACTAAGAGCTACTGTGGAATAACTATTCTGAGTTATTTCCCCATATAGACAAGCCCTTAGTGAAACCAGAGCATCCCTGAATAATAGGCGAGGTGCTCCATAGACTTGATGTCATCTCCCTCCAGAAGGAATGATATCAACCCCATCTTTCTGCTCAGTGCCTGAGTTCGCTACCACACACCCTCCTCCTCTGTGCACAGGCTGCTCCCACACACTGCCTATATTCTGCGACACTGCCTTTATTTGTCTGCTCTCTTTGATCACTTCATGCAGAGAGAGGCAAGCTCAGATTCTTCAATCAAACTATCCTTTTATGAGTAACTCCCCAGAAGACTGCAACTCAACCCTATCAAGAGAATTTATGCAATTTGCAAATGTAACCTACTTCTAGTGTCACTTTAATTATTCATTCAACTTCTAGGCATTATTTGTAGCAGATGCAGCACTACTAATTTTCATCCCCATTTCTTTTGCAGTAGGATCAGATCATCTTATTTGCCTCAGAGGGAAGACCAGATATTACAGAGATAGGAGTGGGACAGGGTTCTCCCCCTCCATGTGACATGCTAGGGAAAGCAGAAGAACTAATGGAAGAGTATGGGGGTAGGAGGTCCCCACTACCTCCATTAGAGCAATCAGTGGAAGCAGAAAGTTATCTCTTTAGGCAGCTATGCCATTCTGGGCTATGTTTGACCCTTGTATCAGTGCTGTATTTCTCTGGCAACATACATTGCACAGTTGCTGCTAGGCTGAGATATTTTTGATCCTCATCCTGAGTTTCATACTGCTGATATATTTTTAGGAGGGGAGGGTCTCTGTCTTTGTGTTGATATTCTAGTTCTCGTTAAGCTGTTTTGTTCTCTTTGTCCTCCTGTTTAATAAGTTATTCTGTTGGCGTATTATAAACCACCCTGGGCCTTTGTTGGGAAGGGCAACATCTAAATTGTATAAATGGAGATCAGAATTTGGCCTCTTATCTCAAAGAGGAAGGTTTGGCCCTTGTGACCTGCTTAGCAGCATGTACCTTTTTGCTGCAGTATAGTTTGAGCTGATATATCTTGGTGGGCTCAGCTGTCATCCAGCTTATGTTTCTCTTCCTTACACTAGTGCTAACCTCCCCAGTAGCATCCCAAGCAGCACCTGTGCTGCACTTGCCAACCACCATGCTTCTCTCTCAATCCTATTCCAGGTCAACGTGGGTGCCTCTGGGAGACTACATTGCCTCCAACACAGATGAGTGCACAGCCACCCTGATGTACGCTGTCAACTTGAAGCAGTCTGGCATGGTCTCCTTTGAGTACATCTACCCAGACAGCAGCATCGTCTTCGAGTTCTTTGTACGTTGCCTGAGGTTGCACCTCTTTCGTTACAAATCTCCACCTTACATTCCTTTAAAAGATTCTCCCTGTGATGGTTAACCACCACGTCCCCAGGTGGGCCAGCAGCAGGGCTTGAACCTGTGATCTCCACCTTTTGCAGAAAACATATCGGTTGCCTGAGCTGAAGGATCCTATTTGGCTGGCTAAGACAACTGCAGCTTCCTAGCCTGTATATATGTCCAGAGACCACTCAAGTTTCCATATGGCTGTCTCAGCTCCAGATGGAGATGTGTTTTGACAGTCTTCAGGCTCTACCCTCTAGCTCTGCAGGAAATGATTCAGTGTTGCCTGTAGGAATCTGTCTATTCATTGGTTTGTCTGTCTGTCTAACTCATTTGTTTCTGATTCCAAAGCAGCTGCTGAAAATGTGATCTGTTTGCAGTGTCCCTAGAGGAAGAACAGTTAGAACAGGTCCTGCCCTAAAGCATGGCTGGCAGCTGTCCTTGGCTTTAATAAATAAAAAAAACCTCACAAGTTCAGCACTCAGTGCTCCATAGGGACCTTGGTGTGGATATTCTGAGCTGGAGCACTGCATGCCGGGCTATGTAGTCCCTGTAGCTTAAGCCTACTGTTGCTTCATGTGATAAGTCAGGTGTGTGGCATTCAGGCTCCCAGTATGTTGGCAGTCTTACCTGGGCCCATTTTGAGAGCCTCTGTTTTGTGATGGTAGAGCTGAGAAGGTGGTGCAAAGCCCCTTTTAAAGACCAGTGAGTGATACTGTTGTTGTCCACTGTGATTAAAAAACCCAGTAGCTTGCTCCTCTGATGCCAGGCCTCCAGAAGCTGCATCCTCATCCCAAGTTCCCTATTGCCCTAGGTTCAGAATGACCAGTGCCAGCCAACCGTGGAGGAGTCGAGGTGGATGAAAACCACTGAGAAGGGATGGGAGTTCCACAGTGTAAGTACAAACAAAAGGGCAGAGCTTAATTCTGTTCAGCTAAGTGGGATCCAGCCGGCAGTGTGGGAGGCTTTGGAATCCAAGCCCCATGTCAACCCCAAAGTTCACAGCTAGCACTGGAGGTGCAGCAGAGAGATTAAACAGAAGTAACTTCTCCCAGACCATAGGGTAGATCATAGGAAGATTAACATGCAAGTAGTAAGTGTTGGGTGTCACATTCAGCACCCAAAATCTCTGGTCCCGGTCACTCTAGGGATAACTCCACTCTCCCAGACACATTCCTTCTCTCTAACACAGGTTCTAGAGGGCAGGTCAAGGTTTGCAGGCAGCACTTAATGGGCTGAATGAATGCTGGACCCCTGGGGTCCAATTCCAAACTCACTGAGTATGTCTACGCTGGCTCCACCCCACTCTTCAAGCTGTTACTGTAGAATACACCCTGCTCATTCACACGCTCCAAACCCAGAAACTCAGTGGAGTGGCCACTCTAGGGTTGCTTCCTGCCACCATTCTCAGGCACACCAGAAACCAAGATCTTAAGAGTAGCAGTAAGCAGCATTCTCAGAGTTGCCTCACTGTTGCATTCCCTAGTTTGGAGCACATAGAGTGGGAGCAGGTGGGTATGACTTTTTTCTCAGCTGCAGATGTGAAGGTAGCACAAAGCCAGTGTGAATATAACCACTCACATCACTACAGATCTAGGGTGGCTGAAGCTGGGCTTTTGTAGGCGAGATCAACATTGGATCTTTGCTCTCACCGCAAAGCCAGACTCCTTCCTTGTCCAACGTGTGTCGCTCTGGACCCTGCTCCAAGACCAAACAAAATCATGTTCCATCTCCTGTCAGGACCTGAGCATTTCCCTGTTTTTGTTCTGTTACCTCCTCAGGTGGAACTGACTCATGGCAACAATGTCCTGTACTGGAGAACCACAGCCTTCTCAGTGTGGTCCAAGATCCCCAAGCCTGTGCTTGTAAGGAATATTGGCATCACAGGTACATGAATGGCAGTGCCTACTTTCTATTCCAGTGCCCATTTGGACAGAAGCAGCCCAAGTGCTATTCACTGAGTGTTTCTCCTTTGCTCCTTCTCCTTCCCCCAGGAGTGGCCTACACCTCTGAATGCTTCCCCTGCAAGCCAGGCACCTATGCATCGAAACCGGGATCGTCCTTCTGCAAGCTTTGCCCACCAAACTCTTACTCTGGCAAGGGAGCCACCTCATGCCAGCAGTGTGAGCCTAAAACTTACTCAGGTAATGAAGGGGTGTACACATAGACACACCCATGTGCATGCATGGCATGTGTGCACTGCAGTCAGGAGGAGTGCTTAAAGGATATACAAGCATGTCTGTGGTAGCTTTTAATCTAGCTAGCTTGGGTAATAATCACAGTGAAGACTCAGCTGAATGGACTTAAGCACTGACTGTACAAGCTCATCCAGGACCCTGGGCACCTATTCAAGTAGGCAGCTCAGGCTGAAGGCCAGGCTGCGGTAGGTTTGCTACCTTGGTATGCAGCTACCTTAGCTGGACCAGTACTGACTGTAACGTCATCTCTGCTTGCCATGTAGCTGTAATGTAATACATGCATGCACAATGCACATGGCATTTGCATGACGGGACCTTTTGGAAATAAGACATACCTTCTCAGCAGTGTCAATCTCAGCATGCTAGTCCACAAGACTTCCTTACAGCAGCAAGATCTATCAGCCTAGTGTAACTTTTAGAGCAGCTGGTTTCTTCCACTTTCCTCGTCCCACTCTTCCCTGTCCATTCTCTCTTTAGAAGCAAGGGAAGCAAAAATTATTAATGATTTATTATTAATGCTCCAAATATTTCAGTTTTGCAGGACTGATACAGATGGAAGCTATTTGGTTAGAATCAATTTTTTTTTTTTTTGCAGTGGAATATGCTGCATTTAGGGGAAGAAAATGATACATGGAGAATGTGGCCCAATGCAACAATAATTTTAGGACAGGCAAACTTCTTTATGGCATTCCTTCTCAATCAGTGTTGAACATCTAAATTGGGTGTTTCCTTTCTCTTTGAATTGTAACCTTGTAAAGTGGTTCTGGGCACAAATCATGGACGATTTCATGTGACCCTGTTTCTCATCTGGACAGTCTGGGCTAACTGATTGTCTGTGGGACTCTCAACCTTCTTTACAAGGTCTGTGATCTGATTTGCAGTTTTGATTCCTAGTTTAGGAAATGGTTATTTAAACTGAAACCTCACAAAATGTGTCTGGAAAATCCCATTATCCAAAGCATCACATCTTCTAGAGGGTTTAGAGTAGTGCAGGTCAGCCTTTTTGGCAGGTGTGCCACAAATTAGCTGTATAACTTTTCCGAGTGCCACTCTGATCCTCTCTCCCTGCCTGATCTGCTGCTCGCTCTGTTTTCTACGCCCTTCCCTATCTGCCACTGTGTTGCCTGTCTCCTCCCCAGTCTGCTGCATGCTGCATACAAAGCCTTCCTGTGCTACAAGTTGGCCAACCTTGGTTTAGAAGACAGAATAAAGAATAACAGTATAATACCTTGGTCTTACATAGCGCGTTTGTTGTAGATCTCCAAGTAGTGTTCCAAGGCGGTCGATATAATGACTCCCATTTTACAAATGGAGAAACAGGCCCAAAAAGGGAAGTAACTTGCTCCAGGCTGGCTGAACAAGGACTTGAACCCTCATGCCTTAGTTCCCGGGCCAGTGTCCTTTCCACTGGGCCAGTGTTTCTCAACATGTAGGTCACGATCCAAAAGTGGGTTGCAAAAATATATCAAAAGGGCCATGAGCAAACTTTAAAAATGGATTCTTCTTTAAAGGAAAAAAATGTGGGAAACCGTGTCTTTTCTCTTGCAGCCTGGCAGAATTTCAGCTTGCGAGGGGATGCTTGGAGCCTAGGCACTGCCCCACACATGAGGGGGCTGGGGCCTAGGGGTGGGGGCAGTGGGTTGAGACTGGCTACTGATGTTATAAATGGGTCCTGGTACAAAAAAGGTTGAGAACCACTGTTCTAGATCACAGGTTTATGTGGTGAGGGCATACTCTTTTTCAGACATGCTTCAGCTTTTCAATATACAGCAGCCCAAGACCTTTCTCTTTCACAGTGCTGTGAAGGTCAAGGGCAGACCCTTCCATTGCTGTTATCCATTAACCAGACATAGCCAAGCTGTCAAGCAGTGAAGAGTGCAAGCGTTTTTCAAAGAACCAGGTGCTTGGCGGAGCCATGCTTTCATGTTAGGCAGTTGTTTGAAGAGTAAAAACATATGGTTGTTCCTTCAGCGATAATTTTCTAGCACGCTGTACAGCAGCTTAGCAAGTCAACAGAGGGAGAGGGGCTCCCTTTCCTGGCATCCTCCCAATTCTTTGATTAGAACTGAATATTGAGTGGTTACTTAAAACCAACATCTGGAGACTAAACTTGGCAAACCCCTCTCTTCCCTCCCCCCCTTCCTCCCGCAAAAAAAAAAAAAAAAAAAA